CAGAGCCATGTGTGCCATGCTTAAGCTGGCTAGAGTCTTCACCCAGCCTGGATGGAGGCACAGCAGTGAAGCAGGTAGCAAGTAAAGGTACATGCCAGGGTTCAGAACTTTCCCCTACACAATGTTTTAAATTCATATTTATATAAGTGTTTAAAATTCATATTTATATTTATCCTTTTGAAATGGCTCTTTTGGTTTATAATACAGATATATAATTTATGAATTAGTATGTATATGTTAGGTTATGCTCAAAAGTTCTTGATTAGAGACATACTATTGCATTTGGAGACTCACTTTAAACAAGAGACAGAGACAAGCTGCATCTCAGATACCAACTTTTCCATTCAGAAAACTCAGCTGCAGCTGTCACTACATGTAATGGGAATGCAGCAAGGATTCCAGCAGTCTGACTGCTCTGACCTTGGAGGGAGGCCATTCACAAGCTGGGATGGCACTGCCCTCCCAGGAACCTGTGAATGTCAGAAGTAACAGAGTCTATTTCTACTGACACAGGAACAGATACCAGTTGTTGGCAACAGGTCCTCGGGTTGAAGTACACAGGCATCCACTTCATTGGGGTTCTGAGGGCAGGAAATATTCTAGTGTTGAAGGCAGGGTCTCAGGTAAATTTCTAATGAAGTTTCAAGAGGACAGTGCAAACTTTTACCATCCCATCATGTCTTTAGTCGGCTGTCACAGGGAAATTAGTGCCCCGACTGGGACACTTTATGCCAGTAAGGTCCAGAGGTCACAGAATCCCATGTGCCCAGCTCTCAGTGTGGCTTCTTCCTCAGAGCAGTCTTTATTGTGATGAACTGATCTCTCCCTTAGCTTAGCAGATGCTCAGCATCCTTCAGGATAAAGCCTTCTTCTCACTGCTCCTCCATTTTTTACTTTAATAATACTTAGGCATGGGTTGTAGGCAATTATGAAGTCATTTTTTCTTCCACACTTACAAATTTGTATGGTTGCTGCTTCATAGGCCCTAACCCATCCCTAGGCACCCTCCTCATTAACTCATGAACTGAGTAAGACCCTGCCCAGAAAATGTGTCCTCAGGGCGTTCACACCAGAAGCAGTCCCATGAGCCAGCAACAGGTTTTCTAAGTCTTTTGCTAGGACCTCTTGGAGCAGTGGGAGCTATAGAAGTCTATAACTGATGGAGGTGGGTCTTGTATCTTATCTGTTGCTTTCATTGGTTAACTAATAAAGAAAACTGCTTGGCCTGATAGGACAGAAAATTAGGTAGGCAGAGTAGACAGAACAGAATGCTGGGAGAAAGAAGCCAAGTCAGTGAGTCGCCATGATTCTCCCACTCCAGACAGACACAGGTTAAGATCTTTCCTGGTAAGCCAGCTCGTGGTGCTACACAGAATATTAGAAATGGGTTAGATCAATATGTAAGAGTTAGCCAATAACAGGCTGGAACTAATGGGCCAAGCAGTGTTTAAATGAATACAGTTTCCGTGTAATTATTTCACGTAAAGCTAGCCTTGCGGAGCTGGGCGGGAACGCAGCCCACCGCAGCTCCTTACAACATATAACAAGCTGGGGTGGAGTCTGACCTTAGTAAATTTTGTAGGGCTCTTTTTTCCTTTCAAAGCACATGAAACAGCCACATCATTATAAAACTGCAATGTTGCATGGTCCTCTACTAGCTATCCTTACCACTCAGCACAGAGATGATGATTTGGAAATGGGTTATAGGTTTTTGTTTTTACTTTTTAGTACCTTCAGTTCCTACACAGGACTCAGTGTCTGGCCCTGGGGTTCCTGGGGTCAAAGCCGGTACCAACTTTTCAGGTTATAACTACTAAGTTTATTCTGCAGTGTAGCCAGAGCTGGAACTACTTCAGGCTTCTTGAGTCCTAAATAATTACAGGTTTGAGTAGGGGTAAAGAGAAAGCAAGTGCTTCCAGCAATGTGTAACAAGGGCAGCACTCTAAGGTAGCTGCTGCTGCTATTGCTATTTCAGGCTCTAAGTCCTTGCAAGCTACATCCAAAATTGATTTCCTTTTAGAATCAAATCAACTTAGACATCTGTTATTGATCTGTATTAAGTATTGGACTCATGTAAAGATCAGAGAAGGAGGTTCACCATGTACAAGTTTCACTGGCAAGCAAGCTAGGGTGGGTGCTCATCAACACACAGAAAGAGTGATGCTGACTGAGAACTCTGAACAAGCAAATGGGAGTCATTGGGATCTGGCTGGCCTGGACTGACCTACTTCTTTACTCAGAACGGAGCAACGTCAAGCACCTTTAGTTTTCTTGGCTGTGTTTCAAAGCCAGGAAGTAAAAATGAGCATTTCCTGTTTGACAGAGTTCAGAGCTACCCATGTATCAGAATACCCACTGCCTGTCACTATGCTCTTGTATTGCACACCAGCGCCACTTCAGTCTCTGATGTGAGTTCACAATAAGAAGTAAGAAATATAGGCCGGGTGGTGGCGGCGCACTTGGGAGGCAGAGGCAGACTGTGAGTTTGAGGCCAGCCTGGTCTACAAGAGCAAATTCCAGGACAGCTAGGACTACACAGAGAAACCTTGTCTTGAAAAACCAAAAAAAAAAAAAGGTTCCAGTTATGTTTTTCAAATGGAAATTTACCTCCCATTTTGAATTAATAGGTTATTTTAGGAAATACCTTAGTTTGTGTCTGGTATTTCAAAAAAATTATAATAAACATTAGAAAATGCCAGCATGGATCATACGAAAAAATGTCACTGTTAAATTTTTATATGTGTTTTGATGTGTATGTAAACTCAGTCATAGAGAATATTTATTTCTTATTGTGGACTGCAGTGTGACGTCATTGGTGTTCACAGACTGTGCGTACTGCCAGCAAATGAGCTGGTGTTCACAGCACTCACATTCTGCAGAACTCTGGATGATGTTCAGTTCCTCTATGAAGAAATAAGAAACAAGTCTAATGAGCTTGAATCATTAACTAATGTGTAAGATGACATTTTTAACTATTAATGTTACTTTTGGGTTACAAAGAATTTATCTGTAACACAACAGAAAGCAAGTGAAAACATCTCTTTCTCTAGCATGCTAAGCACTGTGCTTCAACACCAGTGTCAATACTCTTGAGTATTCATCATGATGGAATCGAAAAAATAAACATAAATTAAGTATATGCTTATATGTATAGTGACTTATAAACCAAGTATAGGATAGCTTTTTGCAGAACTTTGATTTCTAAGAATTTTTAACTCACAGTAAAAGTACCTTATAGAAACAAGACTAACAGAAAATTTGAAAACAATCTATAACAAAAATTCACCAGTGTCTAGACATTTGAAAAGTATCACACCAGTTTGTTGAAGTTTAAAATCAGTGTTGTGTTTATGTTCACATATTTAAAGATCCTATAACAATTCTGCCTATGTGCATTAAATACTGTGCCAACCACAAGCATCTGGCCTACAGAAACAACCTACTACACTTGGCCAAAGCAGCGGTGGCAGCAATTGCTGCTGCCACCATGAATAGAAGCACACAGCCCCAGAGGCTGTGAGAAGCAGGCCCAATAGGCTTCATCTGACTTACCAGCCAGCCCCACAGAAGTATGACTGAAGGAGCTAATAGTGTGTGTGTGGACAACTTCACCCAGGGTCGCATATTTAGATCATACCTTATTTTACATAGGAAGGATAGATAGATAGATAGATAGATAGATAGATAGATAGGCAGATGATTAGAGAGAGATCTAAAATATATGCTAGAAAATCAGTAAAAAGCAATGTTACAATCTACAAAATTTGTAACTATAATTGATTTAAATATCACAGACCCAATTAATTGTAAGAATCTACTATATCCCCCCAGCAAGATCTAAACAGTGTCTCATGCTCTCTTATTTAAATTGTATAATTTTTTTGTATAGGTGTGGTTTTCCTGCACCACATGCCTGCAGTACCCATGGAGGCCTGAAAAGGGTGTTGAATCCTCACTGGGACTAGAGTCACTGATGACTGTGAGCCACCATGTGGGTATTGGGAACCAAATCTGAGTCCTCTGAAAGAGCAGCCAGTGCTCTTCACGGCTGAGCCATCTCTCCAGTCACTCTACCCTCAACCCTTGTGCTCTTTTTGTTAGTGTTCTTTCTTTTTTGTTTTTGAGATAACATCTCACTAGGTAGCCCTGGCTCGCCTGGAATTCACTAAGTAAACTAGGCTAACTCCAAATTCATAAGGCGCCTCCTGCCTCTGCCTCCTGAGTGTTAGGATGAGGTCATGCAACACCATGCCCAGCTTCATGCCCTTTAAAGAGGAAATTCAAAGTGAGAGAATAAAAGGACTATATAACAGAGTCACTGGTGCAGCCCCATCCGGTCAAAACCCAGAAAGCACCATGATGAGTGTGGATGGGTGCACTTGTTTGCAGAGCTTTATGCATTCTCTGTCACACGCAACTGCAACATGAGACTCCTAAGTGTGCCTGCCTTTGTGAACTTAGAACGGGAAGCCTCTGCGTGCTGCTGCCCATGTCTGAAGTTCTATACCGGTCAGCCTCCAGCACATGCCCAAGGCAGTGACTGCACCTGGACTGGGTCCTTCACACTAGATGAATGAGTGACCACTGACCTTCAAAGAGTGGTGACCACACAGCAGATCAACCACGGAGGGCCTGAGATTCAAGATGAGGCAACCCTTGAAGCCCATTTTTCATCTCATCAGCAAATGTCTCCAGTCAGTATTTAAAATTCATCGTATATCTGACTAAGTGTGGTCACCCAAGCCCGGCTCATCTTCAGATTAAGAATGTCCAAATGAACAAGAAGTTGAGACTGGCCAGTGAGATGGCTCATTGGGGAAAGGTACCTGGATGCAATCATGTATACATGGTGAAAGGAAAGAAACGTCTCCTGAAAGCTGTCCTCAGACACAGATGCACAGATACACACAGGGAGGCATAAACACAGGGGAACGTTAAGAAAATTAAAGTTGAGACATACTGAAAAGTTTAATATTTTATAAAATTTCCAGACACCTTACCTTACAGATTAGCCAGGAGCTCTGTGCTTGGATGGATCGGCAAATGGTGTGCACTGAAAGTGACTGCAGTGGAAAACTGTTCTCTGATCTCTCCTTCACTTGGTCTTCCCAGAGGATGGATTTCAAGTTCCAATAAGAAGCAGAGCCTGGCATTAACTAACATAATGATCACGGAAATTTGAAGGCAGCTGACTTGCATTGTGCTAGTGCAAGACCTCATACTCAGGAATCTACCAGTACTCGCTGAAGGCATGCACTAAGCCATTCAGAGCCACAGCACCAATGCTCCTTCTCCTTCAGACTAAGGAATCAGAGAATGGTAATGATGTAATGGAAGAAGTGTACTCAATGCCTTGTAAAAGTACAGCTCAATTTTCTGGTTTTCCTATTTAATAAAAAATTATGTCAGATACATCCTGTTTTTCGTAAATTTCTCCAAAAGAAACTAAATTCAACAATTTGAGGGAAAAAGAAGTGTTTTACTTTTTTCTGAATACAAATCCTGTTTTGTCATCCACACCGTGCATGTAAGCACCATTATATTTCTGTGACCTGTGTGCTACCTAGGGACAGCAACAGCATGCACTCATGTTTTTAGTCAGGAACTCAAGAGTTAAGAAACCATCCCAACAATCACGTACAACTAAACAACTGAATAATTATGAGCTCATATTCCACTGTGTCTGCCCTTCTATGACCTTTAAGTCCTGGGTATCACCCTGGTAACTTTCCTGAGGTGAAGACTCAAGGTGGTGTATATGAAGGTCACCAAAGCCTGAGATTTAAAAAGGAAACAATTTCTATCTATGGGTTTCACAGGCACAACAAGCACAGGAGTGAAGTAGTTTTTAAAAAGGTTTTAAAAAGTGAATATACACATGGCCTATAAGGCAAAGTCTAAGTTACAAGTGTGTACAACACTGGCACTGTGCTGTGAAGTATTATCAGGTGTATACACACAAATGTCCAAATCTACAATCACATATGCTTCTTACTGCTGCTTACCACAAAAAGATAGCCTTGGGGCTTCCCACCAAGGCTCAAGTTTGGAAGGAACCTAGTATTTTCCCACTGGCCCAAAGTCTAATGAAGATTCTGTAACATGAATCAGAAACTCTGCTTTTGGTTTTTTAAGGAAATAAAAAATGTAGTTTGCTACTAGTACATAAGTTTTCAGGACTTTCTGAAAATGTTTTGGGGTACTAGGCAACTTCCAGGTAGGCTTCTGCCTGCAGATGCAAACGTCTCATGGCATAAAGCAAAGCATAAGAAAGTCCAAGTCAGCTTCTTTGCACATCTTCACCGCTCATCCAGATGGCTCCCTGCTGTAGACATACAACCTTTCCCCAGTCTCTAAGACTCAGGGTTTAACCAAAAGCTCTAAGGTCAATCAGAAAAGTCAAAGGAGAAACTGATCAGCAATGCCAAGTGCTCGTGCTGGTGAGAAGGTGGCACTGACAGGCAGCCCAGACCTCACCACAAGCTGATGAGTTTCTGTGGGAATGTCAGGAGTCTTCAGGGGACTTGCTGCAGAATGCTGCTGAGGCAGTCGGGTCTCACAATGCTTTCTGATGACCATTTGCAGAAGGCTTTGCAGTTTCTGAATCTCTTGAGGTATCTGACAAGTGAAGCTTGTGAAGTCCTGCAGGAAAATAGAACACGGGTGAGAAAGAGCAGAAAAGACCTACTTAGCAGGACAGCTTTCTTGTATGGGTTATCTACAGCGTTCTGGTAATGAGAGCCTTCTCCTCCCCGGAGGCAGCTCTATGGAAGTCACGCCTCTTTTCTAGGACTGCCCCCTCCAATGACTGGGTGACAAGTGGGCATGACTCTTCTCAATACGGTGGGGTCCTACTATTTTTTATTTATTTTTTGAGTGTGTGTGTTCATTTGTGTGTGTCTATAGGTAGAAGCCAGAGAACAATTTTGGATGTCATGTGAAGTGCCACCCACTTTGTTTTAAGAAACAGGGTCTCCCATTAAACTTGGAACTCACCAAGTAGATGAGACTGGCTAGCTACCAAGCCCAGGGAGCCACATTCCCAGTGTTGGGATTTTGTCTAGCTTTTTTACATGGGTTCTGGGGATCAAACTGAGGCCCTCATGCTTGTGTAACAAGTAGGTTATAGACTGAGCCATCTCCCCAGATCCTCAGTGTGGCTCTGATGTGATGGGGCCTCCAAAGCATGATACCCCATAGGGTCAAAGGTGTCAAAGCACCCTTCATCTCTTCACTGTCTCTTCCTCCTCCTCACCACAAAAGCCTCTTCCCAGTAAGCTAGCTTGTTCTCGTCTCAAAACACACTGCCTAGGAAGCTAAGCTGATATAGATACATGACTTTTTTGTTTTAAAACACAAAACGTCTCTGTCTCCATCCATCACCAGATGAAGGTTCTATGATGATATGCAAGATATTCGTCAGTATTGCTATAGGATAGGGTCATTTCAGGTTCCCCATCCTCAGCTGCCCAAGGAACTAACTGGGGACCTCGGCTTGGGCATCTGGGAGCCACTCTAGGTTCAAGTCTCTTGCCAACCCTAAGGTGGCTCCCTTAACTAAGAACCGTGCTTCCGTGCTCCCCCATCCAACCTTCCTTCATCCCAATCATCCCCCTTCCCCAAGCTCCCCCCATTCTCCCCCTATCCCCCCTCTCTCACCATCTCCCCTTACCCCCATCCCACCCCACCCCCAAGATCTCAATTTTCTCCCCGGCAATTTTGTCTACTTCCCATAGCCAAGAGGACAACTATATGCTTTTCCTTTGGTTCACCTTCTTACTTAGCTTCTTTGGGATCACCAATTGTAGACTCCGTGACCCTTGTTTATGGCTAGAAACCAATTATGAGTGAGTACATCCCATGTTCATCTTTTTGGGTCTGGGTTACCTCACTCAGGATAGTATTTTCTATTTCCATCCATTTGCATGCAAAATTTGAGAAGTCATTGTTTTTTACCGCAGCATGGACTGAGCTCCCAAGGTCCCGATGAGGAGCAGAAGGAGGGAGAACATGAGCAAAGAAGTCGGGACCACGAGGGGAGCACCCACCCACTGAGACAGTGGAGCTCATCTATTGGGAGCTCACCAAGGCCAGCTGAACTGTGACTGAAAAAGCATGGGATAAAACTGGACTCTCTGAGCATGGCGAACAATGAGGGCTGATGAGAACCCAAGGACAATGGCACAGGGTTTTGAACCTACGTAATGTGCTAGCTTTGTGGGAGCCTAGCCAGTTTGGATGTTCACCTTCCTAGAAATGGACGAAGGGGGGAGGACCTAGGTCTTACCACAGGGCAGGGAAATCTGACTTCTCTTTGGGCTGGAGAGGGAGGGGGAGAGGAGTAGGGGGAGGGGGAGAAGGGTGGGAGGAGGGGGACGGAAATGGGAGGCTGGGAGGAGGAAATTTGTTTTTTTTTCTTTTCTCAATAAAAAAAAATAAAAAAATAAAACACAAAACGTGTGGCAAGAATACTCAAAGTGAAACCCATGCCATGTAAGCGTCTACAAGTAGTGCATCCTCGGGAAAGACCATGGAAGAGCACCCATACTGCTCAGATTTTTGAATGCCCCCAAACTAAGTTAGGGGGTAGGGTGGGTATTCATTCTAAATTTCCAGATAGTAATTTTCTCATTAGAAAGCTTTATATAACTCCTAAGCCAATAAAGTCTTCCTCCCAAATTTAAAGTCTTTATTACTTACATAACTTAATGAAAGAAAATTTGAGCTTGAGCCTATAACTGAATTAGACAAAAAAAAATCAATGTAAAATAAATAGTTTAATCCCAGAAATGGCCAAACCACTAAGTAATCAGAGAATCTCTGAAAATTAAGACAAGACTGATGTGGGAAGTCTTTCTGTTTATATGTTGCTTTTATTCATTAATGAATAAATCTGTTCCGGCCAGTGACCTAGCAGACCTAGAAAGGCGGGAAAACTCAACTAAAAGAAGAAGAAGAAGGCGGAGTCGAAGGCGGAGTCGAAGGTGGAGCCAGTGAGATGCCGTGTATCCGCCAGAGGAGACAGACATGAGCTGTTAGCTGGAACCTTGCCGGTAGGCAACAAGACTCATGGTAAAATATAAAATAATGGAAATGGGTTGATGCTAGATGTAAGAGCTAGCTAGCAATATGCTTAAGAAATTGGTCAAACAGTGATTTAATTAATATAGTTTCTGTGTGGTTATTTTGGGAGTCTGGCCAGCTGGGAAGTGAGGAAGCGGGCTCCTACAAAACAAGACATGCACTGAAGAAAACTTGCCAGGAAAAAAGTAAGGGGAGGGATGGGGCACAAAGGGCATACTTGCCACACTGCCCTGGAACCATACTGTCTCTGGATGGGGAATGTGTGCAGAGCTAAAGACCAAACCCAGGACCTCACACATGGTAGGCAAGCATTCTACCACTGAGCCACATTCCTGGCCTTGAAACTACTCTTTTAAGAAAGAAGACTTAAGTAGGTTCACTTCCTTTTTATTTTTTATTTTTTGGTTTTTTGAAACAGGGTTTCTCTGTGTAGTCCTGGCTGTCATGAAACTCACTATGTAGACCAGGCTACCTTCAAACTCATAGATATTCACCTGTGTCTGCCTCCTAGATGCTGGGATTAAAGGTTTGCACCTCCGGGTTAGGTTTCACTTCTTAAATCCAAGTGTGACACAGGACATGCATTCTGATATAACTGCAATCTTTTCATCTGTAGACCTCCCTAGAAATAGTCCCTTGGTCACCACCACCACGATGACTAGTGTGCAGATGTTCTCTGAAAATACCTATTAGGAATGAGCTAATGAAGTCAGATTTAACATCTTTGGACATTTGAGCCTATATTTAAAGAGGATCTTTTCTATACAAAGAATGGCCCCTAAAGAATATACAAAAGGATAACAGAAAACATTTGAAAAATAAAACAAACACGGCAATTGGAGGTTTTACTCAACTCTTGAAAACCCCATTGTGTCTTATGGTCAGATTGCTAAGATGACACAGAGGGCCTTTGGCCCCTGGCAGGAGCTCCACAGAGAGACGCCAACACTGAAGCACTGCAGCCATCTCAGCCATAGCCAAGTGGGAACCCATCTGAGGTCCTAGCTAGAAAAGAAGTTTCACCTAGACATAAGACTGAGGGTTTCTTGATTCCTAGGCATCTGGCTACTTTTAATGTGCCCAGTACTGTGAAATACAGGCACTAAAATTCATAAATTATCTGGCGTTTCATCTGAGATGAGATGTTTCATTTGAGGGTAATATTTCAATCAGTTGTCCCCTCACAGTGTACAAATAAAACACACATGGAGCAGTAACCTGGTAGATTTTTCTTTAAAGGTCATCCTTTCCATCAAGGTCATAAAAGTTGGCACTTTGAAAAGATTTATTGCTGCTCCTGTAGTTTAGCTTTCTGAAATTGGACCTTAATGAATCTATAAACATGCTACCTCTTAAAATATCAAAAAACACATCCTATTTGAAGCATAAGCATTCAAGTGGTATCAGGCAAATGAGTGAATGCCAGGGTTTCCTATATTTCCTACAGGAAACCACCACCTTTCTTTTCTGCTATGGAGGTAGATGCTACAAGCCTGGGAAGCTTCCAGAGTGCTTCTCATCCTGAAGCACAAACTCTGGACTAAGTTCAGCATGAGTGTAGGAATAAACACAGCAAACATACATCACTTAAAGCAGACTTTGATGCCACCACACTACACATGACAGCGTACATGACAGCAAACCTCCTGTCCTGTCAGTACCAAGAATGCTAACATTGTTTTCCAGAGTTATTTGGCTTATTGAATAGAATTATAGGTTGTTTATACACTTAGAAAATTCAAGCCTCCCCTCAAAAAAAAAAGCTTGAAGCAAACAATAGTAAAAGGCATCAACAGCAGAAAGCAAACCTTTAACACCAAGTCGTTCTCACCTTTATCATGATAAGAACAAAGGGGCTGACTGCCAGTCCCAAGTTCTTAGGGTGTCGTAGGCACTGTACTAAGGCCCCATAAGAACCACCACAATTCCTACCCACACACCTTACAGATGAGGGCCTATAGTACAGCACATGATTCCAATCCAATCACAACCAACACATGAGTCAAGAATGCAAATGACAGCCATGAACACTTAGAAACTAAATTGAAACTCAAATGTCAAAGTCATGATTAGCAGAAAGAAACATCCATAAACCTCAAGATTACCTAGGGCCTTGAAAAGTTCTTCTCGTACAGCTGACGTGAATTTTCTGACCAAACACAATGTTGTCACAATGGCAAAGAGTAAATTGTAGGATAATACAATATAGAAATTTCCCAGCCAATTAAATCTTCCAAAGTCTCCAAGTAGATCAAATCTAGTGATTCCTGTTAAAAGAATAAACAAATAAAAGTCCTTAATAAAGTGAGGTGCATTCATATCCCTAACAAAATACAGTTGAAAACAGGTCAGATTCCACAAACTTTCTCAGATATTTGTAGGATGCTTTCTCAGTGCCCTGGGAAGGCTTTGCCATGAATCATGTGACTGTTTCCTAGCAGGTCAACCCAAGCCAGCCCCAACCTTCATGTCTGTACCTGTCATTGCATGTGATACACGGAGGAGTGGCATGAGTGTCTATCACGTATTTAGAGTCCACACCTGAATTAAAGAGAAAGCTCAGGTGCCATCCACTAGAGCCTGTTCTCCCCCACTACTTCCATAGGAATGACATCTATTACACTCCTGCAACCCAAATTTCAGTGGCAACACCTCACACATTCCTATTTTTTACTGATTTTATTGAGCTATAAATTTTTCTCTGCTCCCCTTCCTGCCTCTCCCCTCCCCTTCAACCCTCTCCCAAGGTCCCCATGCTCCCAATTTACTCAGGAGATCTTGTCTTTTTCTACTTCCCATGTAGATTAGATCCATGAATGGCTCTCTTAGGGGCCTCACTGTTATCTAGGTTCTCTGGGATTGTGATTTGTGGGCTGGTTTTCTTTGCTTTATATTTTAAAACCACCTATGAGTGAGTACATGTGATAATTGTCTCTCTGGGTCTGGGTTACCTCTCTCAATGTGATGTTTTCTAGATCCATCCATTTGCCCGCACATTTCAAGATGTCATTTTTTTCTGCTGCACCTTACACATTCTTAGTGCTCATCACATAAGTGAATAAATAGGACCATTTCCTTACAATACACCATTGGCAGAATTTCATGCTACCATTTACAAAGTAAGAGAGGAATGTCAGGAATGTGTGAAGATTGTATCACACATGGATTTAACTTACTTAATTCAATCAAAGACACATTTAAAATCTTTTTAACTGAAAGAATATTTAAATCAGTATGTGACTCAGGTCCAAAACTTATCATAAAGAGGGCATGAGTGGCAGGATTTTCTGGTAAATAAATCCTACCAGTCAGGTGGATAAATGGAGTAAGAAAGGCCACGGCAGGCTTGAGGAAGACACCGAGGGACTACATGGGGCTATATGGACCTACAACAAGAGTTACAAGAAGAAATAGCTACTTCCTCTAGTACTATACAAACACAGTTATGTACTGCATATGCTACAGGCCATTTAAGGATTTTATGGGTGATTTCAAAAATACCTTTGACTCAATCTCACATCATCAACTGGCTTTTGAATTTGGCTTTTTGCCCTGATCCAACAAACTTCCATCAACTGCAAGCCTCATAGAGAAGCTTATGGGCAGCAGAAAATCTTCCTATGCAAACAGTACAGTAAGAACAGGGCATTTCAAAAATAGCTCCGAAGTCACTCCCATCTGGAACCAATGTGTGCAAGTATGAAAGACATTGCCGAAGTGTTTTAAAAATAGATGAAGATTAATGAAGACATTAGATAATACCTTACAAAAAGAAATTTAAAAACCAGATACCAGAAAAGCCTTCAGTGCCTGTCCTGTATTACTTTAAGATGATGACAACTTTGGCTTCAGTCTCTCAGTGCTAAGCCTAAAAGAAAGGACTTTGTTTAAAGGAATGGATGCCTAATAAGATACCTTACTTTTCAAGCTGAGTTATGTAAACAGTTATGGTGCTACCAACACAAGCCTTAAGGCTTCAGTGAACCCAGGACTGGCAACTGAATTGATCCCAAGAGTAAAGATCTCCTTAAGTGTCTGGTAAAAGCCATAGTCACCCTGTAAGAAAAGCACACTCAAACTTCTGCACCTAGATGGTTTCCAAAGGACAAGCTGAGTAGGCCCTAGAAGATGTCTACTACTATGGGTAAGTGCAGAAAGGGAGGACTAGTGTAGATTTAACACATGTGTTTAATGTGTGCATTTGATTATCCATTCTTATATGTACCACTGACACTCCATACAGACAAATCACTTGACACAAATACAAGGTCTAATATTTTCTTGTTAGTGAACCTGTGTAGGTGTGCAGACAGCACTTTGGACCCCTGCTGTCAACAAGGCTGTAGATAGCTTTGCACCGTCCGTGAGGAGCAGAGCTGGGAGGTCAAATCAGTCACATCAAGCACAGAAGTGCTAGAACAGTGAGAAGAGTGGACACAGACCCTAGAAATGAACCCCACTTAGAAAATAGAAAGTTAGGGTCCAGCCCTAACAGGATATCTAAATGAAGAACAATCTCAAGCTCAGGGTATTTCAGCAGACATACATAGACACCCAAGAGGAACAAAAATGCCAGTTCACAGTGTTGGGTCTGAAGACACTATTGGTCCAGGAGAGGCTCCAAAACCACAGAGAAACCCTGTCTCGAAAAACCAAAAAAAAAAAAAAAAAAACAGATGCACTTTAGAAAAAAAAAAAAAAGCCATCCAACCAAAATATTCAGAATGAGGAATCCGGGAGGCAGGATCGCCATTTTGGACTGCAATAGAGGTTAAGAGCCAGTGTCTGGTTGTTTTGCTTTTCTGACCTTCAGGTTGAACCCCAATAACTGTCTATAAGATTTTATTAATCATGCTACACACACGCACACACACATACACACACACACACACGCACTCACGCACGTACACAAAGAAGTTTCATTAGACAGCAATGAAGCACAAGGTCATTTGACCTGGGTACTACAACACTTTATGACAAGCAATGCATTGCCTCCCCGAAAAGGACTCAACCAAGAATGTTTCATGAGTAATTCCTTCCAAAACAACCTTTTTTCTATTCACAGTTTTAAAAGAACTGGTGCACAAAATACAATGACTTTAAGAAGGAGCAGGTTGCCCCACCCACATCATAAGTCAATATAACGCATGTTCTCTCGCCCACCTGAGTCAACTTCTACTCTGAGCAAGCATGTTCATGTTGGTGAAACTGCAGGAGGCCATTCAGAGCAATTGTAAAGTATGGGACACAAAGGGCCTGAAAGTGATGTTATCAGTAAATTATACAAGCTGGCCTAGTACACAAACATCTGACCTAAATATCCATGATTTTAATGTAAAGGTGCCAAAATAACATGTGTTCTTATTAAATTTATTAGCTAATTTGCATTAAAAATTAATCTCTAAACTCATATGATTAGTTTCAACACCATCCTCACTATGTTTCCATAAACTTCCCCTAATTAGATTTATGAAAAAAATTTAGCTAAGATAGTCTATAAAATAAGCATGACTTAGAGACAGTAATGCAATAAAATCCACAATCATTCTAAACATCCATGCTTTCAGGATTGGTATAAGCAATCGATTGTCCTGTTTATTAGGGGGAAAAAAGTCACTATAAAATTAAGCTTCTGCTCTGTGAGTAGAATGAAAGATGAAAATTAAAAATCAAAGACTAACTTCTAACATCTTTAAATTTTTATGTAATTAAAATCTTTAAACATGTATTTATCTTATGTGTATGTAAGTTTGTGAGCATGTACATGTATGTGCCACAGCAAGTGTATGGGAGTCAGAGGACAGCTTGTGAAAGCTGGATCTCTCCTTCCACCATGTGTGTGTTCCAGGGACTGAACTCAAGTTGTCATATTTCGCAGCAAGTGCCTCTACCCATTGAGCAATCTGGCCAGCCTCCACTTTTAATAAACATTGCTTGTTTGTTGTTATGTTGGGGGGTTGCATATACCAGATACTAAGGAAATCAGATTGGTCAGTCTTACTGTGAAAGTATGTTTTTGTTAAATTATATCCACAAGAAATATAACTATAGGCTTCAGGTACTAGCCAAAAGGTAATAGAGGAGACAATATTTTCTCACCTACCTGAATAAACTTAAAAAGTGGATGTAATATCCAAATAATGGTTTCGAGACCCTGGTCATCAATACTTCTTCCAAGGGCAAACAAGGCCATTACCCTCCCTAAGGAGGAAGGACTCAGAAGTCAGCATGAGGATGGCTTAGTGAGCAGAGAGCTGCTTGGAGTGAAGTTCAGCAGAGCAGAACTGAGCAGAAAACCCAGATATGACTATTACAGCAGCTACAACCTATCCTCTAGTTCAGAAGCTAGAGGAAAGATTGAACCTACTACAATTTTTAAAAAGTCTAAAGCTGACCTATAAAGGAAAATCACAATATAAACTGGAAAAGTATACTTGACGGGATTAAGAGCTGGCTAGATACTACAGAGACTGGCATACTCAAAGACAGCAAAAGAACACAAAATAGACAGGAAGCTAACAATGTCAATGAACTACACCGATGCCCAGTGGCTGATGATGCACTTGCTCTCCAGAGTCCCTGGAGTGGAGTTGCAGAGATACTTGGCCTGTGACATTCTAGATATGTAAAAAAGAAGACCTGAGTTTAATTCCAAAACAATGAAAGTATAAAGTCAACCCCTGGGTGTTGCTGGCCAGCCAGCCTGACTAACCTACTCAGATGAGCCCAAAGCCTCTAAAAAAAAAAAAACCCTATCTGAAAAATCAAGGTGGACAGAGTAGTATGGGAAGTCCTTCTGCATATGTGTTGCTTTTATTGGAAGCAGCTTTTGGCCAATGGCCTAACAGAATATAGCCAGGCTGGAAAAGATATATACAGAAAGTAGGCAGAGTCAGGGAGATGCCATGTAGCCACCAGAGGGGAAAGACATGAGCTGCCAGCTAGCTAGAACCTTGCCGGTAGGCCATGAACCTTATATAAAATACAAAATAATGGAAATGGGTTAATTCTAGATGTAAGAACTAGATAACAATATGCTTAAGCTATTGGCCAAACAGTATTGCAAATAATATAGTTTCTGTGAGATTATTTCAGGAATCTGGGTGGCCAGGAAACAAAAACGTGGCCTCCAACTACAACAGAGTCTGAGGAACGACACTTGAGGTCGACCTCTAGACTATACTCATATGCACATATGCATCAACACCTACATGAGTGCATACACATACCACACACACCCACACACATCAATGTACACACAGAGGCA